GACATAATTTGCTTAAATTTCAGGACTAGCTTCATCTAACATCGAGTAATCAACAATTGTTCTTATTAATAACACAACAATTTCGTGCTGAGATAAGATAGAGATTAGAAGTTGTCTTATTTTTGGGAGGCTAAACCCAAAATTAATTTACGTATGTCGTATAGTAAATATATATATCATATATGAATGCATTATAACTATAATTATAAACAAAAATAAGTTATAAACAGACTATTGAGCTGTGCGGCCGTGTTTTAATACGTAATTATGTTTCGTTCCGTTATCTTGCTAACATTTGTATTACCTAATAATATTTAGTTCATTCTACATATTTCATCATAGTGAGTATTATCTATTCATTATGTAAAATAAATAATTTGCTTTTCATGTAATGAGCAATTTTCAGAACTCGACAATCCATTAAAATGTGACAGTTGTTCTTCATTAATTCATAATAAATGCTCAGGATTATCTGCAACTGAACTCAAATGTCTCGGATTAAAAAATCGAATACTCAAATTTGTCTGTGTCAGTTGTGACCAAGGTTGAAAAGAATTACCAGAACTAAAAACCCTCATTAAGAAGTTTCTTGTTGATGTCGATAATATTAAAAACAATACTACTAATAATATTATTTCTATCCATAACATTCATTTTTAGGACGAATTAGTCATTTATGAAATAATAATGAACGTAATAAAAAGACGTGCAAATAATCTTATATTTTATAATGTTGAAGAAAGCGAATCAAACCGGTCTGATGACAAAATTACTTCGGACTTTAATTAAATTAATAATGTTATTTCGATAATATTATCTGATACTAAGTCGTGACATTCCTGTCCCGTTAAAAGTCATTCGGTTGGGTCGTTATCAACCTGGTAAAATTCGTCCAATTAAAAAAAATTTTTCGATGGCAACTTATGTGTTTGATATCATACAAAATAAAAATAAAATTTGACATTCAAATCTACCTTCCACAGTTAATATTTCCACTGATCGAACACCTAATCAAAGAGAATCTATGAATAAACTACGCGAAGAACAAGCCTCACTTACAAACGATGGTGAAACTGGATTAACAATCAAATTTAAAAGAAGAGTTCCCAAAGTCGTCAAAATTATCGGTGCATCAAATACTCAATCTCAAAATTCACAAAATTATTAAATCTTCATGTATTCTACCAAAACGTAAGAGGTCTTAGAACTAAACTAAATTTTTTTCGAATATCTATTTTTAATTTTAATTGTGATTCATTATTTCTAACTGAGACTTGATTGAATAGTTCCATTAATGATACAGAATTAGGTCTTACTAGTTCTAATCTACATAATCGAGGCGGTGGAATTTTACTGGCTATAAAAGATACTTTAGATTTCAAATTATTAAACAAAATCACCATAATACCAAATATTGACCAAGTATTTGTTTTGTTAAATTATAATAATATTAACTTTCTCCTTGCTTGTTTATATTCCTCCGAATTCTCATTTAGATATTTAAAGAAAACACTGCGAGATTGTTGAAAATCTCGTTATTAATTTATCTATATTAGATAATTTATTAGCTATAGGTGATTTTAATTTAAATGAATTTTCTTTCTCAGATTATTCTTTATTTACTAATACCTCATCTAACTGCATTGTGATCTCATATATAAATTACCTAACCTTAAAACAAGTAAATAATGTAAAAAATGATCATGGTAGTATTTTAGATTTAATTTTTCAAGCATAAGTATTGATTCTATATTTAGCAATTATTCACTTATACCATTAATCGATTCATATCATCCACTTTTAGATTTTATCTATTCACTAGAAATATCTGAAATTTTAGATGAACCCAACAGCCCATTTTTAGAAAATATTGATATTCTTCCTAATATAATAAATTTAGATCTTGAAAATGCAATCCTAAAATTCTATGATATATTAAATCATCCTTGTGATTTATTTGTCCCAAAAACAAAATTAAATCTTCAATTCAATTACTCCTTGCCATGGTCTAATTATGATTAAGAAATTTAATTAAAGAAAAATAACTTGCACATAAAAAGTATAAAATTTCAAATTTACACTGATTATTTACATTTTTCTAATTTAAGAAAAAAATATAAACAATTATACCAACAATTGTATTCAAATTATATTCTCAAAATTGAAAACAATATTAATCTTAATATGAAATATTTTTGGAAATAAATTCAATCTTAAAAAAATAAACAAAATCAATATTCCTACATCAGTCTTATTTGATGATTTATGTGCTAATCATTTAAATGGTATTACAAATTTATTTTCTAAATATTTTTCTTCTGTTTATTCTAAAAGTAATGTACTTAAAAATTTTGATCAAATATCCAATATAATTGGTAATGATCTTAATTTAAAACCTATATCTATATCTGAAGATGATATAATTGAGCATCTTACATCACTTAATGAAAGGTCTAGTACTGCTCCTGATTTTTTACCTAATATTTTATTAAAAAAATGTTGTTTGGTCTTTGCTAAATCTATAAATCACATATTTAATTTATCTTTGAACACTGGTATTTTTACAATTATTTTGAAAAAATCTTTTATCACTCCCATTTACAAATCTGGCGATAGAAATAATGTAAGAAATTATCGACCAATTACCAAATACTCGATTCTTCATAAGATGTTTGAGGCCATTATATCAAAAAAACTATCAAATTTATTAACCAATTAGTCCCTCACAACATATATTTTCAGCTAAACATTACATTTTTACTAATTTAATAACATACCATAATTACTTAATAATATCATTAAAATTAATGGAGGTTACCAAGTAGATTCTATACATACTGATTTTGAAAAAGCTTTTGATGAAGTAGACCATTTATTATTTTATCATAAATTAGAGTTGTTTGGAATAGGAGGTAATTTCCTTAAATGGTTATTCTCTTTTCTTATTGATAGAACTCAGGCTGTTAAAATATCATTTTCTATTTCGACTGATTATCCTGCGTTATCAGGAGTCCAGAAAGGCCCCTCTTATTATTATTGATATTTATAAATGATTTACCATTAGTTCTCGAACCTTCTATTAAATTTCTTCTTTATGCTGATGGTGCTAAAATATTTTGTAAAATCAAATTGGTTGATTATCAAAATATTTTACAAATCAATTTAAATAAACTTTATCTTTGGAATGAATAAAATCATCTTCCTCTAAATATAAATAAATGTCAAGTAATATCCTTCACCCGTAAAATTAATCCCTTTCATTTTCAATATAAAATCAATGATTTTCCAGTTTCAAATGTAAACTCCATTAAAGATTTGAGAATATATTTTGAAAAAAATCTTAGCTTTAAAACTAATCATAAAGTAATTCTTAATAAATCATATAAGATGCTTTGCTTCATTAACAGAAATACAAATGATTTTAAAATTATTACCTGCCTAAAGTCTCTTTATTACTCATTACTTAGATAGGTTCTTGAATTTGGTTCACTTATCTGGTCAAGTGAGTATTCAACATACGATACTGATTTAGATACCGTAATGGGTAATGTTAGGTAATGTCCAATTTAAGTTTTTAAAAAGAATAGACCATGTCATAGGTTATACTTTATCACATTGCTCGGTTAGACACCTTCAAGATTCTATAGGGGTTCATCATCTTGATGTAAGACGAAATTTAGCTGACATAATGTTCATTTTTGACATTCTAAACGGTTTTGTTATTTGTCCTGAGATCATGGCCCTAATTAATGTCCGTATTCCACCTGAGAACACACGTAACTTAGATTTGTTTAAAATCCCATTCTACAAAACAAACATTGATACTAATTCATTCCTCCCTAGAGCCCTTTTTTTAGCCAGTATTATTTCTGCCTCACTTGATTTTTTTAACATCTCATTATTCCTCCAAAGCGTTAATTTTACTTAATAATTTAAATGGATGAATCATTTCTAATCTTGAATCGATTTTTATATTGTATTAATATTTTTACTTACTGTTCATTTACCTACTACCTTTATTATTGTTTTAATTATTATTAATGTTTTGGAAAACTATCCTAATAATTTTTACTTTGTTCTATTATTTTTTTCTGTGAAAGGACTTATCATCCATTGAATATATATTATAAATAAAAAAAATAAATAAATAATTATACCTAAATTTATTTATTAACAGCAGTTTTTATTCAAATTCAGTCTTAAATAGTTATAGATAGTATTTAACATAATTGTTTACTCTTTTTTTTATAAACTTTAGACAAATAATAAAGAAGTTAGTAAATAAAAAAATATATACTGAAATTGTACCCAGTTTCTTTATATTATAATATAACAATTAACAATATTTTCATATGGATAATATTTTTTTCCATCATATTTTGTAACAATGTACATAATATAAAATTAGTCTGTTCCTATATGACTATAACACTTAAATTAAAAAAAAAACCTAATACTTTAAGCCTTTAAGTACTTTAAGAATAATAAATAACTATTAACTATTAACTAAAACTTCTTAGGCATTAGTCTCTTTCCTTTTCAGCCTTTCTTTGGAATGACGTAGCCAACTACTTGTTGTTTTAATAACAATATCATTTGTAATCAGTTATAATCATACAACTTGTAACAATATTATTATTTTTTTTTGTAATTACTTTGTCAATGTTATTTTATTGAAATAAAGTTTTGTTTTGATTTTGTGTTAGAGAATAATCTTATAACGTATGAAATATTAACTTTAACTGTCTACCTCCAACAAAACTACCCAAGTATTGCGAATAAAAGAGATAGAATAGTTGTAATTATAATGATGTTTATATTTTATCTAATTATTACAATAAAAATGTTTTGAAAAATTAAAAAATTAAAAAAAATACATATTATATAAAAATTTCATCGCAATTTTTGTTTTCATTCTAATTATTATATTAATATATTATTATATTTAGTATTTACATTATATGTATATTAACAAAATAAAAATGTTAAAAAATCAATTTTTAGTATAATATCTTCGCTATTCCCGCTGTCATACAGTCATAGAAACGGGACGGTTTATCATTACGCCATGTAGCCTTGATCATATCCGCGGCCTTCTCCGCTATCATTATGACCGGCGCGTTGGTGTTGGCGGCGATCAACGTGGGCATGATGGACGCGTCCACCACCCGGAGCCCATTGACGCCGTACACTTGGAGCTGTGGGTCCACCTCGGCGGTCTTGTCACCCTCGGGAGCCATCTTGGCGGTACCCACCGGATTGTTCGTGGACACGGTGTAGTGCCGAACCATGCACTCCCAGTAAGCGTTCGAGTGCCGTAGCACTTGTTGACAACCGGGGAACGGGACGCCGTGCAGACGGCTGTCGAACTTGCGGAGAGACGCGGTCTAGGCCATTTCCAACACAAAATTGACGCCCCTAACCAGCGTGTCCACGTCCTCTTGGGCCGTCAGGTAGTTGGGCAAAACCTTGGGATAGTCGAACGGGTTGGCGCTCCGCAACAGTATTTCGCAGTGGCTCTTGAGCTTCAACAATATCTGCAGATATACAATAATATGAAATGTTGATTATCTCCACAGACTTTGGTGATGGGTGGGAAAGTGTCGGGGTTCAGTATATACCTAATATTATTGCCTATTGGACTCTGAATATTCTCAGTTCAGATTTAGACCACTAATATAATAAAACCAGTGAACATATTTTCAGCTACAATGTAAGTCTATGAAATTAATATTTTATTTTTTAAATATTTAAAAAATACATTTCTTGAACAGCATCAAGTACTAATAAATATCAAAAACAATCTAAGCAATGAACAATAAGTGTTAAAATTATACGTGAAACATTTAATGTGAAACAAAAAATACCTAAGATACGTAAATCATTATTGATATATAAAATATGATTAATATGTTTTGATGAAGCACATGTGTGTGTAAAGTATAAGTCCTATTAGTTATTGAGTCAACTACGATATACTTTATGCATTTTAAATCTGATATTTTTGTTTTCATATTTTTTTAATACATTTTACTTACAGGTATAGCGGACCAAACGTCTTTGTGAAGAATCGTTTTATACATCGAATCATAAAAAAAATCTTTTAGCCCGTGAACTTTCCAAGTGTTGTTTCCACCAAGACCAGTGATGGTGGAACCAGATAGTAAGTTCAACCCGATGTCTGGTTGCTATACTGATAGATTGCCGTGTTTTTAATTAATGAACGCCATTCCTTCAACACCGGCCATGATCGTGAGTCGCCCTTTGCTCATCGTCGCATAGCTGAATGCCGTATCGAGGTTTTACACTCTGTTATGCGTTAATGAAACCTGTACAACAAACGAATGAGCATGTAGTTATATTATATTATAGTTCACTGCATTAGGTATGTCACGACAATAGTTTCATGACATACAAATAAAATAACTTTTTATTAATAAAGTATCACCTTTCGGTTGGTCAGAAACGTCAGTCCACCAAGTCCGATGTGGCCTTGAAGATTTTTTCCTACGTCTAAACTAGAAATAATGGGTATACCCATTTCTGCCAGATGACTTTCAGTACCTATGCCGGAGAGCATAAGGAGAGCATAACTGTGGAGAATTGATAGGGCCTGCTAACAGCAACACTTCTTTTTCAACCCGAACGTAGTACCTAGTGTTATTTTTTATCAATTCGACACCGATCGCGATTTTCGTTACAGGATTTATGACAACTCGTGTGACAAGAGTGTTGAGTTTCACATGCAGGTCTCTTCGCATCCTGGCTGGTCTCAAGAATGCCTCCACCGTACTGCACCTCGAACCATTTCTGATGGTACCTTCTGGTACCATAAAACCCGTTTGACGTTGGCCATTAATATCGTGTACATCGTAGCCCACTTCTCTCCCGGCCACCATGAACGCTTCGGCAAATGTGGTATTGGCTGGCACTTCCGACACCGTGAGATAGTCGCCAGCCGAATGGAACGGAGTACGTGCTAAGGACGAGTCTTTGTTGTCCTCCGATTTTTTAAAATATTGGAGCACGTCATTGTACCCTCAACCTGTATTAGGTACCTTGTTCCAACCAGTTTTCAAAGTCAGTTGGATTTCCACGCGCATACAACTTATTGTTTAATACGCTGGACCCTCCTAAAACTTTGCCCTGAGACCACCTACACCTTTTTTCATTCATAGCTGAAAAATAAAATAAGAAATAAAATAATTTACGTTATCTAAAATATTTAAATAACTTCCTATGTATAATGTATGCATTTATGTATACATTTAAATTACATTTACCTACTATATTATCATGTTTGTAGGAATATCTTGTATGAATATTGTACATTATGTGAAATGTATATTTAATGAAAAGTTAACATTTTTGAGACTATGTTTTTTTTATTATTTTAGGTACCTACCTACGATAAAATAATTTAAATGCATTTTATAAAAATTAAAACCAGTTTCGCAGTAAGTACATTTGATATTTTATTAAACTAACTTATAGGTATTGGGAAAATTAATAATTGAAACTATTTAGAAGAAAAAAAAAAAAAAAAAACGTTTCAAAATATACATAAAGTGCGAATTAATCGATTCACAATTATTAATAAATAGCTAATGAAAAAAAATAAATGTCCAATGCCAAAATAATCCTGAGCGAATACAGTCTGTCAGCATATATTAGTAATTTTTATAATAACTGATGAGGAATTTTTTACAAAATTTTTAAATTTTAGATATAAATAGAAACATTTTTATTAACATAATAATTTTTTTTTTTTTGATTGACATTTCAAATTTTAGATATAAATAGAATAATTATATGTCCAAATTAAACTTGTTAGACTTTTTGTTTACAGTACGAGCTACGTATGGAAACATCAAATTATATTTTTAATCCTCTTTTTAACTATAAAATTGAAAATTTAATAACCTTTAAACAAACAAAAAAAAAGTAATTAACAAATTTTGGTGATTTCGTTGAATTTTAGAAAAATGAATTGTGCCTACATTCTTTAATATTTTTCACTGGCTATTATAAAAATTAAAAACTAACACGATATAGGTTTTTATGAAGCATCTAAAAGTTTGGTTTGTTGGGGAGAAATTGTTAGTTTGTAAACCCGTGTGTTTTTGGTTTGGCAGATTTTTTATAGGGCACTCGTAGGTATCTGCCATGCCCGGGTTGGGGATGGCAGAACTTCTCTCGAGACACCATGACTTGCCCGAAGGAAAATGCCACATCTGGGTCGGGTTCGAATCGACGACTTAAATCCACTCGGTCACTCCGTCCACCTCACTAACAATAAAAGTAATGAGCAAAGTTTGTTATTAAAATAATATCAGACAAAATACCTGGTTAAATATTTTACCATAATTTAAATATTATTAATAACGATTTTGTTTGATCTTTATGACTGCTAATACCTACAAAATATAATTTTAATAAAATATGTGAATACATAATTTCTAAACGCAATAGTATGCAATTACATGACATAATATCATAGACCCTTGCCTTCTATTATGATAATGTGCCTATGTATATATTATAAATTATAATACAATATAGCAATATGCATTATTAGTATTGAATTTACTGATGAAATGTTTGATAGTATATATGTATTGATTACGATCAAAAAAATAAAAAGTTAATTACCAAAATAATGGAAATTGCTAATTATATGTAATAATAATTTAGAGGAACATCTATTATAGTCTAATATATAGAGCCCACTATCTCAATATTATTCAAACAGTGTTTGAAATTATAAATTAAAATTTTGTAAAACTAGAATATTTCATTTAAACATGTGACTCGTTTGCCTTTTGAGTATGTATCGGTATAGGCAGCAGATATAAAATTACCTTAAAAGTAAAAACTGACCTCTATCGTTATTTGCTCTTTGCTTATAACATGCTTTATGTTATACAATAGTGAAGTCTGTTTAGAATCTAAAATTGAAAATTGTAAATGTCCGTAAATAGCCCAAAATGGTTCAAAATATTTTGAAAATTGTATTATGTATAGAAAAAGATAATATGAACATTCAGTGAAAATGTCATAGTGTATCTACAGTTATTTGTTTTAGAGTTACACCAAAAACCAAAATCGAGTTTATCAAAAACGGATTTTGCTTAAAAATGACTGTTTTCCTTCATTTTTGTTATGTTTTTCCCTGCGCTTTTAAAAACTATTGAGAATTTTAAATTTTGACCTCCCGATTGCATAAAATATTGATTAACTTTCCCATCTAACAAGGTACAAAAGATACACATCATTGTCGAACCAATATATTTATCTAAAATTAAAAACAAGGAAATATGTAATTTTGAGTTTTAAAAATAATAAGTTAACTATTTATTTATAACATTATTATTTATTTTACATGACTATTTATTGACCTGTCTATTAAGTCATTTATATATTATTAATTTCATTCGTAGAAAAATGATTATCCTACTATGAGTTATTATTGTTATATAACATGTATTTTGACTATAATATGAGTTTTTGAGTGTTTGAATACTATTGCAATGTTTATTTATAAATTCATATTTATTTTATAAAAAATGTCACAAAAATGTACTGAGAAATTTAAATGCAGTAGCTGTATAAGTACATTATTAAAATCTGATGAATGCGATAAATTTAATCAACAAGAATTTTTAATTTTCTGTAGAAACTACGACTCTCAATCATCAGATTTTGTTTTTAAAAAGGCCAACATCTAGTTTTACAGACTTTTTTAGTTTGGCACAAAAAATTATTAAGAAAACAGTAGAAAAAATGCCACACAAAAGATTAATTCAAAAGATTATTTTTAATAAAATAAAAAAAGAAATCTCCCATGTATGTAAATTTAGTGAATTATGTCAAGACCACTACAATTTCATTATAATTTATCTGATTAATTGTAAACTTCTTCGAGATTTTAACTGGAAATCAAAAAATATAAAAAAAAACTAGAGCAGAAAAATCCTAAAATAAACTAAACATTTTGAAAAATAATTAAAATTGTAAAACTGTTTAGTATTTTTTGGAATTATTATAATACAATTATTATTATATTTTTATTTGTATTGTATTTATGGTATTTATTTATTGTATTTTAAATAATAAATTACGAAAAAAATGTAAGTTACATATTTACATTGTAACTTAATGTCCTATCATAACAAGTTGATTCAAAAGTAGAATGTTTAGAACAGTGTATTAGCTTTAATTTATATGAAATAGCAATTAAATAGGATGTTCAATAATATTGAATTGTCTTGAGCAGCAATTTTACGGAAAA